TTTGATGGAATTAATTTTGAGTTTGGTTGGAAAGTGCAATCTCAGATGCTCCTGAGAAAACCCAGAGAGCCTCAGGGTCCATGGCGGGTGTCGCCCCTGCAGGCGTGTTCGAGGTGCGCAGCGGGCGCCACGCTCGGGCCTGGTTCCGTCTTTTCCCCGGAGGGACTTCCAGCCGGATGGGGGAGGCAGGACACAATGGGGTGCTTCTCAGAACCTTGAGACCCAAGTGCATCTCCGATGGAGCTGGGCTGGGAGCTCCGAGGGCCTGTGTTCTCAGGGAGAGGGTGTCTGTCAGTCCTGAGACGAGCTGGGAGCGGCAGCGATGGAACGTCTGTGCCAGGGCTTGGGGACCCCACATCGCTTGGCTGTGGGGACTAAGAGGAGGGGTCAGGGAGGGCGGCCTTAGGCCCAGGGCAGAGGCAGGGTCTGAGCTGCTCTCAAGTTTGCTCCCCTCAGAAAGCCCTTTGCTAAGGCGGTTTGCCTCAAAGTGTGGACGGAGACCCCCTGCTTCTGTCCCTGGACATGTTAGCAAGTCTTTGGGCACCCAGACCTCCAAGTCAGGGCCCCAGGGGAGGGCCTGGCGTCTGCGTGGGGGACCGACCTCCAGGTGACTCCGAGGCACAACACAGTTTGGAAATGACCGGTCTTTCCCCATCAGGCCACACCACCCTGGAGCATGGTCACTCGGGGACCCCACAGGAAAGAGCAGGGGACGTGATGTCATGGGTACAAATCAGCACAATAACAAACACAGAAGCCACGGGGCTGCACCGGGGCCCCGCACTTACAACATCCCACAAGATGTCCTCACAGACTCTGCTGGTGCTCAGAGGTGGGCCCCTGAGGCTCAGAGAAGCAAAGTGACTTGCCAGAGGTCGCTCACGTAGCGTGTGGGCTTGGGGTGGGGTCTGGAAGCCAGTTCTCTGCACCCCATCTCACAGCACCCCACTGGCCAGGGAGATCAGAGAGGCCCAAGGCACTGGGGGTGGGAAGGAGGGAAGTTGGAGCCTGCAGAGAAGTGTGTGTGGGCTCCTGCTGGCACCACCCCTGGGTGCCTGGCCTCGGGAACCCCAAGCCGCAGTGACCCCCCTGCGGGGCAGAGACAACACCCCTGATAGTCCCGGGCTCTTTTCCTGACCCCGTACGCCATCCGTCTGCTAGGTGCGCACCTGCAGGGAGCCCGGCCGCTGCTTCCTCTGCACCTGCCCCATCTGAGCTAACCTCCTCCTGGCCTCAGAGATGGGGAGGGGGAGCCCTGTGCAGCTGGGAAAGCTGAGGCTCAGAGAGCGTCGCTAGCCAATAAGCAGTCAGATTCGAGCCCAGAGCCTGTGTTATTCCAGCCTGCTTCGTGCTGTGAGGTTTTCTCGGGGGCGGGCTCACATTTTTCTAGCCTCCAGAACCATAAAAATCCCACTGTGATGACAGAGCCAAAGAAATGCCTGACTCCTGGGGTTTGTTCTGGAAATTGTGTTTTGATGAAAGAGTTTTAGAGATTGAGCTCAGAGGACCAATAAAGACTAGAATTATCAGTCCAACTCCAAGAAACAGAAAGTGGACTGTTGTTCAGTGGGAGAGGAGTTTAGCTTCAGTCTAAAGAACTTTTTTTTTATATCCTATATAATAAAAGCCTAATATGCTAAGTGCCTGGTCGTCCAGTCGTCCTTTCAACCAATCAAAGCATAATATGCTAATGATATGCTAAGGCTGCTCAATCACTCGCTATGACATGCACTGACCACCAGGGGGCAGAGAGTTGACCAGTCGGCCAGTCACTATGACATGCACTGACCACCAGGGGGCAGACACTCCCACCAGTAGGTTAGCTTGCTGCTGGGGTCCGGATAATCGGGACTGAGCAAGATGGGCCAGACATGTCCTAGAGCCCTCCCGCAGTCCCTCCCCTGCCCCAATCGTGCACTGGTGGGGTCCCTCAGCCTTACCTGCACCCTCCTGCAATCCGAGACCTGTCAGGGGACCCCTCGGGGGATGTCAGAGAGCCGGTTTTGGCCCATTCCTGCAGGCCAGGCCGAGGGACCCCACTGGTGCACGAATATATATAATTTGTTTTTTTCATTGATTTCAGGGAGGAAGGGAGAGAAATAGAAACATCAATGATGAGAGAGAATCATTGATTGGCTGCCTCCTGTATGCCCCCTACTAGGAGAGGGGGGATGGAGCCCACAACCTGAGCATGTGCCCTTGGCCAGAATCGAACTCGGGACCCTTTAGTCCCCAGGCTGACGCTCTATCCACTGAGCCAAACCGGTTAGGACTAAAGAACCTTTTAACAGGACAGCTGTCCCGAGACAGAGTGAGCTGCCCGGTAAAGCAGTGAGCTCCCCATCTCTGGGAGCATGCGCGCTGAGAGGGCTCCCCAGGGGTCAGGCATGCCTGGACCAGGTGGCATTGGAAGCGATGCACTTGGGGATCAAGTCTTGGTAAGTTCCCATCATTTGACTCATGGCCCTGAGACACTCCAAGCGCCTCTGGCTCCTCAAAGCAACATGCAGGCCTGCTCTGTCCGCGTTTCTCTTTTTTCTTAAATAGAATTTATGTTTCACAGCAGTTTTAGGAACACAGAAACACTGAGCCCCTGCTCAGTGCCCGGGGAAATGCCTCGACAGAGGTTTCCCATGTACCTCCAGCCCCCAGCCGAGTGGCGCATTTATGACAATCAGTGAACCTGCACTGACATGCCACCATCACCCAAAGTCCACGGCTGCCACTGGGCTTCGCTCTCGGTGCTGTACCGTCTGTGGGTTTGGACAAATGCACAATGACATGTGCCCACCATCGCAGCATCACACAGTAGCGTCACTGCCCTATCAAGCCTCCGTGCTCCACCTGTTCCTCCCTCCCACTCCCCAGCTGGCAACCACTGGTATTTTCATTGTTTCCACTAGAGGCCCGATGCAGGAAATTCGTGCAAGGGGCTCGGCCCTCACAGCCCTAGCAGCCTCACAGCCCTGCGGCCCCGAGGCTCTGCCCACTGGTCTTTCTGGAAGGTCATTCCGGAAGGTTGTTCCGCCGTCCGGTCTAATTAGCATATTAGCTCTTTATTATATAGGGTGTTTTTGCCTTTCCCAGAGTGTCATAGAGTTGGAATCCCACAGCACATGGCCTTTTCAGTCTGGCTTCTTTCACGTAGTGACATACTTCGTGTGCTTTTCAGGGCTTCTCTGTGGCCAATGTTCATTTATCTATCTGTCTACCCATCCATCCAGCCATCCATCCACCCATCCGTCTGTCCATCCGTCCACTCATCCATCCGTCCGTCCCATCCAGTCATTGAGCAATACTGACAGAGCCAGCTCTGTGGTAGGCACCGTTCTCCGTGCTGAGGAGATAGCTGTGAATGGACAGACAAGGCTCATTCTGGAAGCCAGAGTCCCCCGGTGGATGTGTACGCACTCTGCCCTGCCCGGGTGGGCTCCTCCCTGACCACGAGGCAGCCCAGGTGAGAGCGGCAGCCCTTGGCGTCACCCTCAGGCCCCTCTGAACGTCTATTCGGACACAGTGTTAGCAGAGACCACGTGGCATAGCTACTCCGCTGCTCGGTCTCGTCAGCCAGCACCTCATCCCAACCCTTAGTCTCAGCACCCACTCACTCACCTGCACCCCCTGTTTGTGAGTGACAGGTCCACATCCCAGGGGGGGCGAGGCATTTCCCCAGACACTAGCGTATGTCCTCGCCTGGGACTCAGCTTCCCCATCTCGGCTGCAGGAGCAGGAGGCCGCAGGGGTGTTGTGGGTTCAGGGCAGAGCTGGGTGGAGACCCCGGGGTCCTGCGTGTGGAGTCAGCATGGGGGCCTTCTAGTTTTCAGTGTTTTCCAAACCCCTTTCTCCTGGCCGCTCCCCACCTGCTGGACTCCCGCCCCAGCAGGAGGAAGACAGCAAATGCTTTCTTCCAGCTTGTGGGGCTCCGCTCGCTCACAGGATGCTCCCATCCCCCCACTGCTGCCAGGACCCAGAGAAGGGGCAGTGTCCCCTGGAGTCCTCAGGGAAGGAGGTAGGAGGTGGGGCTGGCCCAGGGCCCCCCTGCCCCACACTTGGGCCAGAGCTTGCGCTTCCTGCGGCTGCAGGAGCCAGGCAGCCTGTGACTCAGGGAGGCACATTCTAACCTGCCCCGGAGAGCAACGCCCACCCATCGTCCAGCGGCCCAGGCCCGTGACCCTACCCGCCCTCAGCAGTTCTAATAACCGCTACCAAGTACTGAGCGCGACTGCATACGCATGTGGCGCTTCACAGGCAGGAGCCCATCTCTGTCTTCGCAGCCACCCTGCCAGGCCATCTTTATGGCTCAAGACATGGGAGGAAATGTGTCAAAAGTGTCAGGCGGGGGATGGAGACAGAGCGGGGACCCCCACCCAGGGCTGGATGTCTTGCTCCAGGAGGGGGTTGGGGGCGGGGGGAGAGGCGAGAACGTTAAAATCACCACCTCAATGCACATCAGCCAACATTTACACACTCCTTTCCTCCTCCACTGATCACACCCCGGCCGCCTGGGCAGCATGCCAGCAGAGCGCTTTGCACCGAAAAACCCAGGCTCAGAGAGGTTAACAATGTGTCCCAGGTCACACAGGGCCGGTGAGAGACGGCAGAGTCCTGAGCGAGGAGCCACCCCCACCCCGCCGCACCCCCTGGACTGAAGCTCTCTGTCCAAGGCGCCCCAGATGGAGCGTAAAAATCAACCGAGGCTGTCCTACACGGCTCACACACGTGCATGCGCGAGCACACACACACACACACACACACACACACACACACACACACACGTGCCGCCTGTCGCCCCGATTCAGGAAGAGGGCAAACCCAAAGCAAACAAGCCGACTCCTCTGGCTAGAAGCCCTTCTTGTCACTTGTCAGGACCGGACGGGGCAGGAGGGGAGGTTTCCCCAAACTCAGCCCCTGCGACGCCCACCCGCCCCCTTCCCTCTGGCTGGGCTGCCTGTCCTCCCAGCAAAGGCGCGGCGGCGGACCGGCGCCGGGCGGGCACCCACCTTGTCCGGAGGGAGCTGCGCGTGCACCTCGGGCGGTCGCTCCCCGGTCCGGCGTCGGGCAGGGCTGCCCGATGTCCCCTCCTCTCCGAGGAGCTGCAGGGGAGCTCGAGTGCTGGCAGGAACAGCTCATCTTTCAAGGGCTGGGCTGTGACGTCATCGCCCTCCTGGGCACTTCCTCCCCCCACTCCAGCCCAGCCCCGCCGCCCGCCCAGCCTCTGAGCCGGGCGGGCTGCAGTTTCCAAACCCTGGATCCCGGGGCCAGGTGGGGCGGGCGGCTGCCCAGGTCTCCGCGGGCCTCTGAGCTCTGAGAGCTCGGGGAGCCCCTGGAAGACTGTCCAGGTCGCCCCAAGGAATGTTCTATTGTGAGGACCGTGGCTGCCCCGGAGCCTCGGAGCAGCATTGGCCGTAGTCCTGAAAGGTATCTGGCTGTCGCTCTGAGGCAGGCCCCTTACTAAGCCCAGGACTCTGCTGCGCTGGGCAGTCCCTCCCCGGTCCTCCCAGGAGCCAGGCCGCCTGTGGCTGGGTCTGTGTGTACCCTCCCTGCGGCCCCCTTTTGCAGCTAAATGAGATGGTAGGTGTGGATGGTGGCTGCTTGGCGGGTGAGCCTGGGTAGGAGTGCTCTTGCCGCTGGCGCACTCTGTGAGTGAGCACAACACTGATTGCTTATCACGGCTGTTCCCTGCAGGGCTGTTTTGGGCCTGAGTGTAGGTGTAAACAGACGGTGGCCAGGTGGGCAGGGCAGTTGGGTGATTTTTATGCCGCGTCTGCCTCCCGCGGGGCGAGGGCAGCACGAACTCAGGAACCCCTTTCCCGCTCTGTTTTCTGGCGAGCTCCCCGGGGAGGTCCCCCCCCCCCCCCTTCTCCACAGACTGGCTTGCCCAGCTTCTCTCCCGAGACTTGCTGACAATTCCCAGCACTTAGCACTCCCGGAAGCAGAAAACTGCAAAGCAAAGGGGCTTCAAACTTTTTTTTTTTTTTGTAAGAAGCTCTTAAGCGTGGCTCAGTGGTTGGGCACCGACCTACGAACCAGGAGGTCACAGTCAGGGCACATGCCTGGGTTGCAGGCTCCATCCCCAGTGTGGGGCGTGCAGGTGGCAGCCGGTCAATGATTCTCTCTCATCATTGATGTTTCTATCCCTCTCTCCCTCTCCCTTCCTCTCTCTGAAATCAATAAAAATATTTTAAAAATAAAGAAACTCTTAAAGCCTTTCCTTAAAAAGAGAAGGACTAAAGTGGGCGTGGAGGAGCTGGGAGCGACGGGAGGGGCCGACCCCGGCTGCTCCTGGAACTTCTCTGATCCATGTCTTGAAATCTGACTCTGTCATCACACGGATGGGGAGGCTGAGCCCCAGAAAGGCTTACCTGGAGGCTTGGGATCTAGGCCTGGTGCATGGGACCACCCCCCATTGGCCCTGTGGTGGAGAGCCCCTATACCTCAGACCTCGCAAAATTATTCTGATTGGCCAACCCACAGGGAGCCCGAGAAGCCTGGCTGATTACAGGACGTGAGCTGCTCCCTGCAGCTGGCTGTTACCCTGCCCTGGGTGCCGCCCCTTATGTGGTTCTGCCTGGAAGCCTTCTCTCATTTGGGACTAAAGTAACAGAAAGCCCTGCCTTTCTTCCATCCAAGTGCCATTGTGTGGCGTCCTGACATCTAAAGATCTTTATATCATATAAAACCATGACCACCTACACTTGTATCTCCCCAGTCATCCAACTACCCATCAATCCATTTATCCATCCATCCATCCATCCATCCATCCATCCCTACATCCATCCATCCCTCAATCCATCCATCCATCCATCCATCCATCCCTGAATCCATCCATACATCTCTACACCCATCCACCCACCACCCACTCATCCAGCTATGCACCCACTCTTTTCTCAGATGTCTACACAGCTGGCTGCTCACTATTAAGGAGAAGGAAACAAGTCAAACACACCCGTGCCTGGGAGGAGCCCCCACTGGGCCAGTCCCCTGTTTGGGGCCGAGCCTGGGTGGGAACCGTTTCAAAAGGGGATCCTTATGGACGCAGTAACACCTCACACTCGTTAATATCTGGATCAGCATGTCTTTTGTCCATAAGAAAAGTTGGCTGAACCCTTCCTGCAAAACCTTGCCAGCCACTGACTCATTATCCCTCTCACATCCAGTCCGCTCTCCTGGGGCCTGCGGGTTCAGCCCTGCCCAGACTCCAGCTCAGCCCGCCCAGCTCACTCAGAGGAAGAGGAGGGACCACGCTACTCCTGCAGAACCCCGACAGCCTCCCCCCCCCCCGCCCCCAGCTGTCCCCGTCCCGTCCCCAGAGGCCGCCCAGCCCTGGGCACAGACCCAGCTGTCATTCCTGGGGGGTGCCCACTGCTCAGGGCCCCTTTGTGTGGCGCACTGAGAACCTGCCCTCTGCCCTCTGGCCTCTCCAACTTCCGGCCCCGCCCCGAAGCATTAGCCCCACGGAAGCACCTCACGCTCCTGAATTCAGCAGGATGGCACGTGGCTCCGGCCCCTCGCAGGTGCTGTCATCTCTGCCCGGAGTGTCCTGTCTCTGCTTCGCTTGGTGGCTCTTGCCCTTCTCTTAGGAGGCTGCCCAGGGCCCTTTCCTGGTTGCGGGTCAGGGTCCGGGTCCTTCTGCACTCAGCAGCCTGGTTTCCTCCGTGCCCTGCGGACGTGAGCCCCACGGATAGGACTCAGTCTCCCTCATTCCCCCACGGGGACGGGGGAGGCAGAAGAGGAGGAGACGGGACTCCTGAAATGACACAGGGCGCGTTGCGTGGCGTGTTGCGTGGCGTGTGCGAGCTTGTGCTTTTCATTCTCACGGAGCAGTGGCACGTGTGGAGAAGGAACTCATCTGACTCCTTCAAATGGGTCCCCTCAATTTCTGTCCCCCTGCCTCCCCACACCCCTCCTCTGGTTCAGGGAGTGAAGTCCTTGCTATTCTCGGTGCAAAGGTGAGTTGGGAGAAGCACATGGGGGAGGGGAGGAGGGGGAGAGGAGGCATGGGGAGGCCAGTCCATCTGCCCATCCGTCTGTCCCCTCCCTGCTGCCCTGGGAGGTGGGTGGCCAGGCCTGGTCCTGTTGGGGCTGACGGACTGCCCCTTGCTCGGTGGGTGGGTCACAGCCAGCCTGGCCCCGCCTCCTCACTCTGTCCTTGGCCCTGGGCTGCCCTAGGTCTTGAGAGGTGATTACTCACTTCCTGCTGCTGGGTGCCACTAGGGGCTCTGGAGGCCGGGAATCCTTGGGGGGGATTTTCCTGGCATCCCTGGGCCCCTCTTCTTCTGGGACTAACATTGAGCCAGGATCCCCAGGGAGCAGCTCTGTCCGCAGGGTCCTCGTACTCCCACTGAACCTGGGCCCCCAACCACGGCCCCAGCCTCAACCAGACAGGCTGGCCCGGTGCCCAGGCCTCTCCTGCCCCCTGCCCGCTCCTCTCTCCTCGCTCGCTGCTGCTCCTCCTCCTCCTCCTCATCAGGAGGCTGGGGCTCAGAGGGGTGACACTGGTGAGTGGTGGATTGTGCTTTGATGGGATCTGCTGCAGTTTCTCTGAAGGACTCCAGGGGCTGGGCGGGGGCCTGGGGTGACAGGACCCGGAAAGACATAGAATTGCCTTCCCCAGCCCACCTGCCCTCCCAGATCCCAATTCTGGGCTCCGTCCCGAGGTGGCGCTGTGGGCCCCGTGCTCAGGGGAGACGCCAGGGGAGGGCTTGGCACAGGCCCTCCAGGATCCAGCTGCATCCACCGCTCTCCTGCGTCCGACCGGCCCCTTCACAGCCTGGTCTCGGCCCCCTGAGCCCCTGTTCTGAGCTCCTGCCGGCTCCTTCGCCCTCAGCTCTGCACACCAGTCCCGTCGCTCTCCAGCCCACGAGGTGCACCTGCCGGGGACGCCCCGTCCTCTCCGAGCTGTGCCTCTACACCTCCCTGTCTGTCTGTCTGTGTCCCCCAAGTGCCCACGACTTCCTTCCTCGGGGCTCCGGGGCCTCCTGGGCCCCTGCCCCTTGCCGCTGTGGTGGCTCCGGGCACTGGGCTCTAACTGCTTTGTTCATCAGTTTCCTTACAGAACACGAGGCTGGGAGGCAGTGGCCTTGACTGTGAGCCCAGAGCTGCCAGCGCCAGCTGCGCTCACTCGGCCGGAGCCCCAGGCTCCTGGTGTAGAAGGAGGACCTGGACCAGTGGTCGGCAAACTGCGACTCGGCAAACCATGGCTCTCGAGCCACATGGGGCTCTTTGGCCCCTTGAGTGTGGCTCTTCCACAAAATACCGACTTCTGTGCATGGGCCACGAAGTTTCAATCGCACTGTACGTGTGCACCCCGCACGTGGTATTTTGTGGAAGAGCCACACTCATGGGGCCAAAGAGCAACATGTGGCTCGCGAGCCACGGTTTGCCCACCACGGTCCTGGACCATCTGCCACGGGGGTTGTGACAGTCAGTCCTCTCCGGACTAGTCCTCTCTTCTCTGCAGAACAGACTATAAGGACTCTCCCTTCACCCCTTTTTTTAAAAATGGAGGTGAAATTCACATGACATATATTAACATTTAAAAGCCCACCGTTCAGTGTCATTTAGTACATTTGCAATGTTGCACAGCCAGCACCTGTCTCTGGTTCCCAGACATCGTCAGCACCCCCAAAGGAGACCCCACACCAAGAGGCGGCCTCTCCCCGTGACTGCAGCCCCTGGCCACCGCCCCTCTGCCTCGTGTCTGGGGATTTACTGCTTCTGGGGATGTCATCCACCTGGAACCACGGGACCTTTTGGGTCTGGCCCCTCACACGCGGTGTGATGCGGGTGAGGTTCCCCCGTGTCACGGATGTGTCCGTGCCTCGTTCCTGCTTGTGGCTGAGCGGTGCTGCAGGCCGTTGGTCCACGCACACGCTGATGCACGGACGTGGGGCTAGCGCTGCCTTTGGACGACTGTGAGCACAGCTGCTGCGAAGAGTTCCCGTTTCAGTTCTCCTGAAATTCCTCCTCAGAGGCGGACTTGCTGGCTGGGTACGGCCATGTTTGCCTTTCTGAGGAAGCAG